AAACACCAGATTTCCCCACTTCCATGAATGACAAGGAGCAGGGTAGTGACTCAGACTCCGTATATCCTACTGTCCCTCCGTCTCCCCAGCCCCAGGATTTCCCTTGTATATTCTTATGGTGGTAACAGTCTGCCATATGTTGAGTGCCTCACTGTGTTCTAGACACTGGGCTGCCTTCAAGGCCTCATCTGATGGAATCCTTTGCTACAGCCTGTGAGAGGTAGGTCTAGTTATTACAAGTGAGGAAATAGGCCTAGAGAGGTTAAGTGACCTGGCTGGAGTCACACAACCTCATAGTCAACTAAGTCTGAGGTTCAGATTCCAAAGCCTAAGCTCTTTACTCCAGAGCCTCCAGCCAGAGGCCTGGGGGCTGAATCAGGCCTGCGGACGTCTTTCGTATGCTGATGTGAAAAATGGAGCAATTTCGCTGAAAAACTCAGAGAGCTTCTTGTGAAAAACAGGAGGCAGTGGATGCTCTGGGTCTGTGTTTCCACGCAGGCATGGTGGCGCCAGCCGCATGAGCTGATGTAGGGTGTGTGGTTTGCCCCTCCCCACTCCTCTCTCCATTCCCTCTGCCTTAGCCCCATCCCCTGGCGACCCTGCCAGGCAGTGCCTGGACGTCTGGATTTTCCTTCTTCCTTGCCTGGACCACTATGTCTGAGCCACCTCCCTGGGGACTGTGGTGATGGTCATTATCACTGAAGTTTACTGAGGACCTACTGCGTGCTAGCTCCAGCCACAGAGCAGCCTCCCACCGACATGGCTCTTCTCTACTCTGTGTTCCCAAGAGGTGACCTGCGCTTCTCAGAATTGGTGCCTCTGCCCTTTGTTCTTTTCCTTTGCCTCATCAGCCTGGTTGGGGATCAGGTGTGTTCACTCTGCTGTGCACGGATTGAAGGCCTGCTGTATACCCCGGGCTGGGTGTCGGCACTCCCACTGTGCTATTATTCTGTGCAGTGATGGCAACTAAACTCAACTGGCTGAAACAAAAATGGTGGGGACTTGTTGGCTGCAAAGTGAGATGCCCAAGAGGTGAGGCAGCTCAGCCACACCCAGATTTGGGCCTCAGCTGACAGTGGTCAGGGTGGTACCTATGGCATTATTCTCCGTCAGCTTCCTCCTCAGGTGGCTATACCTTGGGCCACCAGGACAGTGTCTGGCAGAAAGGATGGCCCCCTCCCTGAGCCAGGTGCCGTGATTCTGACTAGCCATCTGGGGATGAGGTTGGGGTCACTTCAATGGGATCAGGTGAATGAAGAGGTAGGGTGGGTCCTCAGGTCGATTGCCTGACTTATGTACACACCCCATTCACTTTGTGAGCCTATCTTCCCCATGAGTTTGGAGGTGTCTTGAGAATGGAAGTTTTTATTTTGTAGGAATTAATAGATGTTCGGTGAGCACCTACTGTGTGACGGGCCCTGTACTGCGCTCCAGAAATGCAGGAAACAGTCCAGTTCTTGCTCTCTCAGACTAATGATTTGGCAGGAATGAGAGACAACACCTTTCGTCAAGTGTGTTGTGCTTTGGACCTGCTCCTGCTTATGTAACATTGGCTGGGATGTAGTTGGTGGCTGGTGAACTCTGACTTAATGAATCAATCAGAAAGGATGGCATCTCCCCACACCCCACTGTCGGGGAAGCTCAGCCCTCACAGTGTTTCTCAAAGAGGAGGGCGTGAGGACTTTCCTGTCTTGGGATGTTGAACTTCCCTGGTCTCCACCCACTTCATGTCTATGTCGTTGTAACAATAAAAAATGCCACCCCCATCCCTGCCCCAGGAAACACACTTTTTCAAATGCTCTCTGTTCAGGATGTGGGTTGAGGTGTCACTGTCTTTTATTGAGAAGCACTGAGGAGATTTGGGCACATAAGGAAATCAGTGTAATATTTCATGGTAAGTGCTACAAAGGGAAGCTCCGGCCGGGTGGCAGAGAGTGAGCAGGAGCTCTCCAGGGGAACGAACCGGGAATTCGTACCAGGCAGTGGGGGAACATAAGTCTGGAGGAACTTCTCCTCATTGACCTCTGCATATTTGTAGAGTGCCTCTCCTGTGCCAGGCACTGATCTGGGCTCTGGGGATGTATACTGAACTTCTGGATAGATTTTCCCAGTAGAAGAGAAACACCTGCTTTCAGTTCCTCAAATGAAGTGTTGAAGTGGTTGCCTGGTTGTGTTTTGTGGAAAGCATCTCTTGGGCAGGATGAGGGGCTTCTCAGCTCAGACCTCAGGCCCTGGCACCATGGCATCCACGCTCCAGGAGGTTGGAAGATGCAACTCCTCTTCCAGCCCTGTTCCCATCTCCCCTTTTGATTGTCTCTTCTCCCAGGGAAGTTAGTTGTGGCTTGATTTTAGTTATGTTTTCCAAATCATTCACTTACTGAGTCCTGCCTCAGTGCCAGACACAAAGCCGAAGGCTTGCCCCGAATCACTGAATGGGTGATGGTCCTAATGCTCCCCATGCAATAGGGGTTGTGGATCCCCAATGCTGTGGATTGGGAAACTGAGGCTTAGGAGTTCTCGGAGGAAGGAGCCAGAACCTGACCCCAGCTCTCTACCTCCGCACTGAGAGCTCTTGCCCTGAGGAGCTCTTATAAAAAGTTTTAAAATTAATTTTCAATTACATGAATATTGTAGGAAGATATGCTCTTTATAAAAAATTAAGACATTACAGTCAAGGCTAAAGCCCTCTGTGGTCCTTCTAATCTTAATAGAGATGTCCCGGTAGAAAGCACAGTTTGCAAATTGGTGTCTCCATCTGGACATTTAAAAAATACGTACATATTTATATATGTCTGTACTTATGGAAAACATATAGTGCTGTTTTGTATGTGGGTTTTTTTGTTCTCTTTTTTAAAAAAAATACAAATGGGAGCATTCTGCAGCTTTGCTACTCAGCAGTGTTTCTTTTCCTTCCTCTGTTTTGTTTTTAGAAGGGATAAATATTTAATAAAATACTGCTGCAAGTAAATCACTGAAGGAAAAGTCTTCTAGCATTTTGTTTTTACAGGACTTTTTGAAGAAATGGCTTAAAAGAATATATTTTTTTCAAAAGATTGGAAATCCTTTTAAAAAAGAAAAAATCTTTAAACCATAAAAAAGTCTCTACAGTGCAAAAAATTCCTTTTATTTTTTCCCCTGCCATGCAAAATTATGAAGAGTGGTATGCCCGTAGAAACTGTGCCTCTAGATGTTTTTCCTATTTATTTGACAAATAGAAGTTGTATATATGTATTATGTCCATGTATACATATTTTAAAATATGTATACATGTTGAAATGGCTAAATTGAGATAATAACGTATGCACTACCTCACATACTTAACCATTTTTGTGTGTGTGGTGAGACTTAAAGTCTACCCTCAGCAATTTTCAAGAATACAGGACATTGTTTTTTTTTGAGATGGAGTTTCGCTCTGTCACCCCGTCTGGAGTGTAGTGGTGCGATCTCAGATCTCGGCTCACTGCAACCTCCACCTCTGGGTTCAAGCAATTCTCCTGCCTCAGCCTTTTGAGTATCTGGGATTACAGGCGCATGCCACCATGCCTGGGTAATTTTTGTATTTTTAGTAAAGACGGGGTTTCACCATGTTGGCCAGGCTATTACCGAACTCCTGACCTCATGTGATCCACCTGACTCGGCCTCTGATGATGCTGGGATTACAGGCATGAGCCACCGAGCCCGGCTAGGACCTTGTAATTGACTCCAGTTCCTGTGCTATACCACGGATCTCTTGAACTTACTCCTCTTGTCTAACTGAAATTTTGTGCCCTTTGACCAACATATCCCCAGCACTCCCTCCCTCCCCCTGCCCCGGACCTGGTAACCACCCTTCTACTCTCTACTTCTGTGAGTTTAAATCTTTTTAGATTTCACATATGAGATCACGTAGTATTTGTTTTTCGGTGCCTGGCTTATTTCACTCAGCACAGTGTCCTCCAGGTTCATCCACGTTGTTGAAAATGACAGGCTTTCCTTCTTTTCCAAAGGTGAATGGTATTCCATTATGTAAATGCACCACATTTTCTTTATCCATTTATCTGTTGATGGGCAGGTTGATTCTACATCTTGGCTATGGTGAATGGTGCTGTGAATATGGGGGTGCAGCTCTCTCTTTGACCATATTATCATTTTCTTCGGATGGATACCCAGAAGTGGGATTGCTGGATCACATGGTGTTCTGTTTATAATTTTTTGAGGAAACTCTACTGTTTTCCATAATGGCTATGCTAATTTACAGCCCCACCAACCAGGTGCAGGGGTCCCCTTGTCTCCACATCCTCACCAGCACTTCTCTTTTAGCTAATAGCCATTTTACCAGGTGTGAGGTGACATCTCATGGTGGTTTTAATTTGCATTTCTCTGATGATTAGTGATGTTGAATATTCTTTATATATCCGTTGGCTATTCACATATCTTCTTTTGAGAAATGTCTATTCAGATCCGTTGTCTTTTTTTTTTTTTTTT